TTTTTCGTGTTTTTCGCGTTTTTCGCGTTTTTCGTGTTTTTCGCGTGTTTCGCCTTTTTTCGTGTTTTTCGCATTTTTCGCGTTTTTCGCGTTTTCTCGTTTTTCGTGTTTTTCTTGCTTCCTTTGCTTAAACCGAGACAAGGGTGCAACTCATATAGAATTCCATAGAATATGTAGATATGAAAAAATATATCCTGAATATTTAATAAAGAAAAATATGACATGTCCTACATTCTATACTTATATCATATATCATACAGTATAATTATACGTATGCTCTACATTTTGTATGCTATAATACATAATATATGATATAAAATATATAGTATAGCCTTTATAAGATATGTGAAAATATATTTCTTACAATATATATATATAATAATCTATACATTCTTAAAGGTATGAAACAAATCATAATATGTAAGATGATATAGTATATAATAGTAACGTATAATTCTTTTCATAACATCATACGATGGGTCATAAAAACTTGCTGAAATGAGTTCTATTATATTACTTTTATTATTGTATATTATTTTATAATGTAGATAATGCATTGTGATATACTATAATACACTATGCTGTGATCTGACATGCTACAACAAACTAGAACATGCTATTATATATTACAATATGCTGCAATATGCTACCACATATTACATTTTGCCATTGTATGCTTTGCGGATATCATAAGACAAGATTATATGCTACTGTATGCAAGGTGCTGTCAAAAGCTATGTACAAAGACTGCGTAATATGCGTAATCTAGTGTAATCAACAGTAATGCCTCAATACACCATACTGTTCTAGATGCATCATAAGAAAAATTAAAACATACCAATATACTATAAAATACCATAATCTGCTGTAAGACTAGAATATATTGGAATATGTTTTACATTACTGTAACCAGCTGTATAGTGCTGTAATATATTACACTATTCCAGAATATAGTATTCTTATTTTATTATATTAGTCTACTATAATACGCCATAGTATATTGTAATACTATCATAGATTATAGTATGCTTTAATACATTGTAATATTCTGCTGTATGTTCTAGTATATTCCAAAATTCTGTAATATGTATTCGAATAGATTTTTACACACTATAATGTGTGCTAGAGAATCCTAGAATGTAATAGAATTTAATATACATTCATGCATCTTCTAGCATGCTAAGTAAACTATAATATGCTGTACTGTGTTCTCATATACTATACTTTAGTATGGTATGCTGGCATTGATTTCTGTATGCTGTAGCATGCAATATCACAAGTAATTATGTTACATTGTGCTTTAATGTACTATAGGTCATTTAATATGTGCTTATATACAATCGAAAAACTACATCGTACCATAATGTACAGTC